GAAAATTACGATACAAGTATTGGACCTATAATAGACAACATGAGTCAAACTCAAGAGGAAAATAAAAACTTCAACCATTCTCCCTATATAATAAATGAAATATATTATAATATGGAGATAAAGTAAATATAGAGCATTCTTTATTTAGTATTATATAGAATTTTTAAAGCCAAGCACAAGCAAAAACAGTGCTTTCATGTTTTTTGTTTTTTCTTTGTTCTTCTTTTTGTTATCTTTTTCTTTTTTTTCTTTTGGTTTATGTTTAGGTTTTGTAGTTAGTCTTCTTTTTTTTTTTTTTTTTTTTACTCTCTTTTAGTTTTTCTTTCATATATTCTGTTGTTCTTTAGGCAAGAATTATAGAATTCTCTTGCTCGATAATTAAAAGAGAGGAAAAAACAAATCAAAGATAAAGCTGAAAAGACAATATTGGAGCTTATTATAAAAGAGTAAAACCTTTTTATTATAGACTTTAAGTAGTCTGATGAGCAGTTTACTTCTGCTTGAAGTAATGTGGCAGGTCTGCACTTAGGCACCATTAGAGTAGCCAGGTAATGCTAGACTTAGTTGTTAAACATTGATGTAATTGTAATAATTACTAAAATATTAATAAAGTACTAGTGTAACTGTCTAAAGAAAAAAAAAAAAAGATAGAATTTGAACACCCAACTTACTATTTGGAAGGTTGATAACCTGACCACTTTACTAGATTAGTACATCTTATTAGTAATCTTATTTAAGTTTGTTAGTTTTGAATAATGATTAGTAGAGAATAATAAAGAAAATATTAGAAAAATAAATACTAGAATCTTAGTAAACTTTACAAGAATAAAAATAATAAATATAATAGTTAAATAAGTAATCATTATGACTGCAAATGTTAAATAACTATAGAATATTGCATAAAACTAGATTAGCTTTGTGTAAGACATGATAAGCTTTTGTAAGTTTTTGTTAAAAATAAAATAATTTTAAAAATATTAATAAATATTAAAAACTTAAATGAACTATATTCTGAAAATGTTTTTGTAATACAAAAGAATTGTATATACAAAAAAGTTAAATAAGCAAGTTCTGTAATTAGTTTACAGATATGATATTTAGTATAGAACCTATATAGTAATGTATAGATGAATTACTTAAATTAGATACCAAAAGTATGCATATATTTAGTTGTAATCTTTAATATAAAAAAGCCTCTGAAGACATCTATATTTTATAAAAACTTAAATAAAAATATTATTTTTTAAAGATAAAAAATTTTTTTTTTTTTTTTGCTCTTAAGCAGCCATGCTAGTACTTTATTAAGATTTTTGCAACTATATACAATAACTACATAGAATTTCCTAATAACTAAGTCCAGCATTACCTGGCCACCTTATTAGTACCTAAGTGTGACCTGTTGCACTACCTTAGTTAAAGGTAGACTGCTTATTTGGCTACTTAAAGCCGTACCAGAAAGGATTTCTCTCTTCAGGACAAGTATTAACTGTCTTCAATTCTTTCATTAAATTCTTCTTTCTTCTCAAAGGGCCAAAAAAAGAAAGGTAATATAAAATTAATACAAATAAGAACACGACTAAAAAAACCAAAAGTAAACAAACAAATCCCAAATCAAAACAAAACAACAAAACAAATACGTAATAGTAAGAAAAAGAAAAAACAAAAAGAGGACCAAAGCCCCAATTAGAGCAAATTGTAAAAATTATATAGTACTACTACTCCTAGTCTTTATTCTAGAAATAGGTCTATATTATATATAAATATCATTCGATGATAGAGATGTCAGTGTTTAATTTCTTTCCCACCAGTTCTATAACTGACCTTTTTACTCTGATTAGAGTTACTTCTAGTTCCAGAAAAAGAATGATTCTCCTATTCCCAAAATGGACGATTTTTGTAGATCTTTCATAAGGGGTATGCTAAATTCTCACTTCTTGTAAAAACTTCTGTCAAAAAACCAAGCGAGAAATATTGTAGTGATATTCAGTTAGCAAGTATTCTTGAATTTCTAGTGAATATGTTGAAAACTTGCTTATTGTTCTCCTATAAGGCCTATTATTTTAATTTTCTTCTACTAATATTTGTTATACAAGAATGTCTCTTGCCAGTTATCTTGTATATGCATGCTTTTAGTTTGCTTGCTAAATATATAAAGGAGTCCAGTGTAGAAGAACCACTTTGACCTTTATAAAAACTGTTATTTATATAGTAGCCTCTTCTGCTTTCTCCAATAAGTTTTCTGTTTTTGTTGGTATGAAATTCGGTACAAGTGATTGTTAAGGAGAGTTGTGCTGAAAGAGTATAAATTTTATAAAAGTTGATGAATATTTATTATTACTTTAATGTTAGAATGCCAAAAGTTTTTGACAATATGTAAAAGTTATATAGTTATCATATAGTTATAAAAAAAAAATACTAATCATATAATTATAAAAGAGAAAATACCAATAACTTACAGTTTATCAAACCAATTACTAGAAATGTACTAATGTAAATTACAAATTATATAATTAGCAAACTAGAATGGCAAGTGTATAAATTCTGAATTATGATTAGATGACGGATAAACTTTGCAATATAAATTTTTACTAATTAAAACTATTTTTGATTTTTTGTTAGTATAAAGTATTTTATTTCATTCATTCCATACACTTGAAAAATGGTTCACTTTTTCTAGGTTTTTATATTACTGTATTATCATCCAATTTTCAGAATATATAGTTTTTAAGCCATTTTTCTTGTTGTAAGAACACGTAAATTTATCAACTTAACAATTTCAAATATGATTATATTCGTTTCAAAGTTTATTGCTTACTGTATTTATGGATTCTTATATTTTAAAAATTTTCTCTAGATTATTTCGAAACAGAATCAATAATTTCTAATGCTGGTCAAAAATTTAAAACTATGGATGGCACATACGTAGACTATGTAGCAAATTACTACGCAGCCTAAGCATAGGTGATCCAACTTTATGATCAATTAATTAAAGGTGTCACCCATACTGCAAAAATGCTACTATTATGTATTCGGTATTTTATATGAGAAATTCAGATTGTTCACCTCTATCTAAGTTTCCTATTACTATTCAATGATTAATATATATTTCATATATAGTAAACTTAAATGCAAAAATCATGTTTTCCTCATGTGTATATCATAAATTTAATTAATTTATAGGATGGAAAAATAGATTGCACAGAACAATTGGTGTTCGTCACTATACTTGGACCCTTAATACAAGTCTAGCAATCATACTACGTTCATGGTTTAAGCGCGACTACGTCGCACAGCTACCCTAATTGAATAATTCTACCACTATTAGAACCGGAATAACTTGCTTTATAATATTTGTAAGCTACCCATAGAAAAACTATATTAACTTCTGGCAATTTCTACGTACTATATTATTTTACTCACTAGAAAACTACATTTTTGATATTAACCGGAATTATAACTGATGACTGCAAATCCGCCGATATCGGTATGCGTAACTTTTTTACGTACGCATAAATATTGTCAAGAATTCTAATATACGTATGTCCTTTTTGATTATATATAATAAAAAGTTCAAATTAGGCGATTCGCTAGAAGCGTGATATGGTTAATTTATGATTTTCGGGAATTTTACAGTATCGGTATAGTTTTTATTTATTGAATGAAATATTTAATCTAAAGATTCCTATTATTTACAACAGATATATCATCCCACACTCTAAGCTCTTAGAATAATATGATGTTCTTTAAGGAAGAGATTTAACGATTATTTTAATGTACATCTTTTTTTTCATTGATATATGATCCCACGATCTAGACTCTTAGAATAATGATATTCTTTAAGGAAGAGATTTAACAATTATTTTAAAGACAAATCATCTTACGTTAATCAGAGCCCGATACTTAACTTTTTCTCGATACATTGCCGTGTATAATAGAAAAAAAGAAGAAGCCCTTTTATGTAATCATGCCATAAATTATCATACGATTCATGGCATCGTTATCGTACGATTCACGGTATAAATTATCGTACGATTCATTGCAAATCTTGGTCATAGTGTAATTTAATTTTGGAAAATCTTAATTTTTTGATTTACACAATTGCCAATCCATTTATACGTACAGTGTTCTTTATTCGTAGCTAATTAATTGTCTTGAAATTTATCTTGTTTCTCATAACAAACACTCAAATCTCCATTCGTGTACCCTCATCAGGACCTACCATAAGTAAGTAGTTGGAACTGAGCAATTATAAACTATCTATATATTTAAAATATTTAACAAAATTTATATGTACGTATAACAAAAACAATAACACGTATGTACGTACGCATCTCAAACTGAAACTAAAGCTAACCCTGACCTTAATTAATATGTATCATTGTTAATCGTGACGCCGTTTTAACCTTTTTCTAGAAATAATATTGCTATATATATATATATAATTTAATGCTCCACTTACGTACGTATCATTATCGCTATTAAGATTATGCCGAATTTGACATTTCTAAGGATGAAATTTAATTATACTGGAGTATCAATAACCGAAACAAGTTTGATAATCTGCTTATGTATTTTACCATGAACATATTTGTTCGACTAATTTGCTTTTTAACATTAGTGTTAGCTTTCATGAATTGCATTATAGAATCACAACTGTTATCTGGTTTCAAATTTTAAAGCTATTATTTTATATAGCTACATGAAGTTATCATATAGTTTTATATAATCATAAACGTGTGTATGTTTGATAACAAAAATAAAAAAATTTTTTTTTTTTAATTCTATCACTTATCTATTATTAATAATTCTTTTTTTTTCTATTTATTATTTACGTAAATTTTACCATTATTTTAATATATAAATATAACATAAATGATTTTTATAAGTGCAAAATAATATTTATCACGTGACCGGGTGCTCCGATAAAAAAAATGTGCCAAAGGAATGCGTTATCACATAAATCCCAACCAATAACATTAATTTAAAAGTTCTGAAACACTCTACTCTTCTATCCATACCTATTACAATAATCAATGAATTAATATCACAGCAAAGACACAATCGCAATATGATAAATAACCATACCTCCATCTTGCCAACGTCACTAGTAGACATTGGAATAATTGAAAGAGCCATCTCTAAGTCTTCTTGATCACCCATCATAACCATTGTACCATCTTCATCTTTATATTTCATTTTTAAAGGATTATTTAATGAAAATTTCTCTTGTATTCTTTTTGAGAGTTCCTCATATGCTATGTTTGTGGGTACCATAATTGCTCGTGGCGTTTTGTCTTTATAATAACATTTAACCCTGATCTAGAATAAAAAGTAATAATTTTAATATATTACAATATATCGTGTAATAAAGACCCATAATTATTCAAAATGAAAAAGGATAATGAATTTTATTGGTCTATACAGACCTTAGAAATTATTTTAGATTGTTGAAAGTTTTTTGGTGGTGAGATCATTTCAAATTGTGGTTCATCTTCATCACCGTAAAGATATCCATCATCCACAATGTTACTGTAATCATAGTCTCCATCTTCTGGAGTTGGTGGTGTTGCTAATCCGCCTTGCATAGATAATGGCGACCTAAAACTAGCTCCTTTTGAAGGGATACTAGACCCACGACTGCGTATACTTGGAGACCGACCAGAACGTTGTTCACTTGAACTTCTATTATTATTATCAATATAATTTAAACCAGAAAAGTTAAATTTATATTAACATTATTTTTGCTATATAATAGTAATTGTATACATTTGACTAAAATCTTCGCTATTCAAACTATATTTTTCCGACTCTTGATTATAATCATTATAGCCACCATCTGTGACGGTCATATTCTTCATTTGTTGCTGCAGATATTGTTGCCGACTGACTGTATTTAACCTTTGAGGTGTACGTACACCACCTCTCGGAGAAACCGTTCTAAGAGAATTTGAACGTGTTATTGGCTCCCTAAGACTAGAAGATCCCATCGGATCTCTAAGACTGGAAGACCTTTGCATGGTGGGACGGTTTGGTTCTCTAGCAGGATTCACCCGAGCCGGAACAGTAGGAAGTTTTGGTGAAGGGCGACCACCATCTATTGTATTAGAACGGTGATGATTATTTTGCAATTTTAATTGATTTGGAGGTGCTTTTCGCAACGAAACATTTCGAGAAATTGGCGTATCTAATTCAGTGCTTCCATTGGTGTCTAATAAAGGTGTAGATGCACCAGTCCGCATAATAGATTTGTTTTCTATTCCTTCCTCTGGGCGCCTTCTTGTACTAAGCTCGCGTGTCGTACGAATGGGGAAAGGTGGTGATTTTGGATTAGTTGATAAAGATCTGGGCCGAATCGTTTTCTCAGTTGGTGACTCTGGTCTAGGAACATCAAGTACAGCACCGTCAGTTCTACCTTTATTAATTGGAGATGTTGTGCTCATTTGTGCTTTCTAATGAATATATAATAAAAATAAAGCATAAATAAAGAATCAGCAATTTTATATTTAATATGAAAAAATTATATAATGGATAATTTGAAAATTTTCAAATACAAACTTTTTGTTGTTGAGCTCCTGTAAAACCAGTAAATGCATCATCTGGATCCACCGCAGCAACTAATTTGGCTTTCCCCAAATAATCCTTGGTTTTAACATTTTTAAGTTTTCCTTCGGGTGGCCTATATATTACACCAACAGGAATGGAAAAAACAGTGAAACCCTACATAATATGTTAAAAAAAAATTAAAATAAAATGAATACTAACAATTAAATATAGTGTTCGTAATTTATATACCAAAATAATAATAATAATAATAATAATAAAATAAAATAAACCACGAAAAAATAAAAAATAAATAAAAAAATACAATACCTGACCCTGAATTTCAATAGCTTCATCAATAACATCATGCTCTTCTGTTTGTTTTTCTTTGACTGCAAAGGAAAAATCACCAAGTCCTTGATCTGTTTGACCAAGGTATAAATAGCAAAGTCCGCGGTTGAATAGGACTTCACAAGAGTAAAGACGGAATTTGAGGCCTAATTGTTCATAGTCGATAAGCATATTACCACGAAGATACTAAGATTATAAAATGAATTAATGTCAATTAAATGTAATAAATATTTTAATCACACTTAAAACAGAAAAAATTGACAAATTACCAGTAAGGCATCATTGAAATTTGCAAGTGCTTTTTCAAATTCGCCCAGCAAAAAATGTGATACACCTTTTTGAAAGTATGCTACAGCAAAGTATTGATCCAATTTTACGGATTTTTTATAGGACCGACACTTTAGTGAAAATTAGGAATTTCTTTCAATTTAATAATCGATAAAATGCTTAACAGAGGTGAACTCAAATAACAATTGAAACTAATTGTATAGAACTCACCGCTTCTTCATGCTCGCCAAGTGTAGCATAAATTAGGCCCATATTAAAATGAAATTTGGCCGAGTCTGCTATAGTCTATTATTTGTGAAAAGCAATTGTCAAATAAATGGGAAGCAAAAAAGTTTTGTGTAGCAAGTAACTAAGATATTACTTGGAACGAAGCTCAGATCGACGTGTTTTAACAACCCTACCTCGAACGTATCCAAGGCCAGGTCGAAATCTTGTTCATCATATGCTTTGACAGCTGCCCCCCATTGTTCTAATTCGTACTAAAAAAAGCTTTGTAAATTTAATTCCTCGTTTCAAAATCAGGATGACGCTTTGAAGGTGTAGAATGAAGGTTAAACCAACCTTTAGAGCCATATAATTTACAAAGTTTTTAAGTTGTTTGAATAAAAATGATTTTTTTTTTATTTTTTTCGAAAAGAAAAAAAAAATTTAAGAAACGATTTATTATCTAGTTCAAGCCAAGCCAAGTACAATCAAATATTAATGCCTTGATACATCGTGTAACAACAAACTATTCGTTTCTAATTAATGCTGGTCAGACTTTTTCTGACGGTTTTTATTTAATTGGTAACAATTTTGTTACACGAGATATTAAGCCAAGTTTTAATAAAACGGATTTTAACTCTGTAAAAGGTATAATTTTAAATCATTGCTTTGTATAGTATATGAAACGGATTAAAAATGTATGATACATTTGATATTTCCTTACATGATCAACTTCATACACCTAAATTTCTGTTAATTGATAGTCTGCGGTACATAACAAACGTGTCACAAACACGTAGTTAAAATTTAAAACGCGTGCAGTTCACACATATAATGAGGGCCAATTTTCCTTCACTCATATATAATACATACATATACAAACATAATAATTATGACTACACTACCAATATCTCATTTTTTATAATTCAATTTTTGAGGAATTGACAATTTGGTTTCATATGTGATTTATTTTCTTGACCAATTTGACCAGAAACAGATTCATCCAATGCCATATGACATCTTTCCATTAGATTGATAGCTTCTTTGTGCTCATGTGGAAATGTTTTATCATAAGAAAAATTCTTGAAAACTCTTTCAAGAAAGCGCAAACTATTATAATAATCCTTGACGCAAAAAAGAACGTTTGCGACACGCAAAGTAAATGAACCTAGATATCTTGGAGTATCAAATTCGCCTTTTTCATACCAATTCAATACATTATCAAAATTTTTAATTAGGGACGATTTATTATGATATTTTTCGTTCGATAATTGGGTTGCGTCAAGAAGTATTAACATTTTGAGAATTAAAATGTAAGTCCAATGACGAGTCCCAAGCTGACCTAGACAAGCATCATGTAGATCCAGTAATTGTGATTTGTTTACAAAATTAATCCCATTTAGTCTTTCATTAAGAGCGATTGTTTCCTGCTCTATTTCTTTTTCCTTCACTAATAATTCATTAAGGTAGGGACTTTCGTCATCAATTCTGGTGTTACACGTGTCACAAAGCCAATAACTTTGTGATTTGATTCCATCGCTATCATTTTTATCACTTATCATGGATGTTGGATGCCAATAAATATATCCATCAATTGAGCAATTTGGACAAGGAAGTCCTCGTGATATGTCCAATTTCTCTGTGCATCGTAAACAATCACATTGAAATAATTTTGTTTTCTGGAGGATTTTTTGCCTTGTGTTAGTTGAGAAAATCGTATCTTTCCCAAGATAATTTGTAGTTATTTGATCACCTTTCCGAATTTCCTTAGCGACCGTATGAATGCCAACTTGATTATCAATAGATTGATAAAATGTATTTGCTTCGCAAGAATGATTCATTTTGCTTCCAATCGCAAAAATAGCAGGAGAATTATCCGATCCAAAAGCGTGTGAATTGAAGGTAAACACTAAAAGCACCTTCTTAAACGTGTCACGATCAACATTCGACCATGCCCGAACATGTTTTTGACAAACGTCGATGATTCTGTCTAAACGGGTAGAAAAGACTTGCGACCAAGCAATATCCATTAATTCTGGAGTTGATGGAAGATAGAAATTATTTAAAATGATATTTTGTATTTCTGTTGAAGAGTCAAAGAATGCTTTGAAGGTTGAGAAAACGTCCAAATCAATATCATAAGTATAAATGAAGGCTTTGTCGCGCTTAGAGGTTAGGGTTTGGGAGACTATCAGAGGTTTTTCAGACAAGAGAATCTCTCCTTTTTGGAAATCACGAGTTGCGAATATGGCAAGACCATATTTGGGATGATACTCAAATTCTAATCCATCCATTATCGTTATCATTTTGGACTATTTTAAAGTAGACATACATGCATAAAAATAGTGTCTATTTATATTTTCGGAAAATAATGATATAATTCACATAAAATCAATCTGGCTTTTTCAAGAACTTTCCATCATTCATGAATCATGATCTGCATTATTGCAAAAGTTCTAGATTTATGCTAGAGATGCCACATGATTGAATACTCGTCTGTATGAATTATACAAATGTGATAAATTTCTTGACATTTTTTAGGGTAGAATTTGTTTTATACGTATTAACCTACACCCTAACCCAGTGTATAAAATCTGAACCCAAAAATTTGTGCACTATATATATGACTATATGATTTTGTTATGTAATTAAATTTATAGATGACTAGCAACGTTATATGGTGCGGGCGACGAAGTCGCCAGCCTGCAATTTTTAGTTTGAATTATTTAGAGATTGGACCGTTGAGAAAATTTCTACCCGGGTATTATTAAATTATCCGGGTTATCAGAGTAAATTATTATGTATTTCAGGTAATCATATAGCAATAATTTCTACCCGGGTCCGATCTCTAGAATTGTTTACTTGATTTAATGCATATATAATGAAGTTTGAGTAGGGTTGGGGGCATGGAAAAAAAAATAGGCATGCCTTGGAGGGCATGCCTCAGCTCGTTGGGTATGCCCGCACATGGTCACATGATAACTAATTGACCAATCAAATTCATTTAAAACTATAGTCCCAAAAATTCTATACCCGTTATAGCTGACCAATCACGATTGAGATTTACGATTTTTTAGACATTGATTGAATATCTACGTAATCGCCAGTAAATCGATATTAAAAGGTTTACTTAACTACATTACTTTTTTAAATATTTTAATATTCAAAATTTTTATTTCGAAACACTGAGATTTCCTAATGCTAGAACGTTTACAAAATATTACTAGTTGTATAATGTTCAGATCTTTATTTGATAGCTATATGTATACGTTATACAAATACGAAGGTAAAAGATATTTTTTACAAAATCGTTTGTTATATATCACTGATCAATATCTAAATATTTTGTGAGAATATCTTCAATAGATCATTCCTCTACGATATTATTTTGCAGCACGGAGTTAGTACAAATCTTTTCAAGTAAAAGAGCTTCCTGATCTCTTTCGAATGTGTTAATCAAAAAATTTATTTATAATAGAAGTTTCTTTGTATTTAATATTAATTATATTAATATCTTTATTAATTTTATCATATCTTTTTATCTCATCCTGTTTATTTCATTACATTCTTCCTCTTTAAACAACAAATCTATATTTTCTTCAACTACCATAGGGTTTAACTTGATTTTTTTTTGAAAAATCTTTTATAGTTCTTTCTTGATCTGCCTAAATGTTGAAAGTGTGTTAGGTAATAGTTGATTTTATAATTTAGTTTTTGTATGTTTAAGAAAGAAAAAAGTTATTCATATATAGTTTTATGAAGAATGATTATGTGAATTTTTATAACAAACTAATAAAAAAAAGTGAAATTATTAGTAATTTTAATTCAAAAAATTAAGATGATTTTTAAATACATATTACTAAGAAGATTAAAAGAAAAATTATTATTTTTATATTAAATTAGTTTTTTATAAAGAATACTAGTATTATTTTTACTAAAGTTTTAGATTTTTATTAGGACTACTGAATAATTGATTGTGAAGGCAATTAATTGCAATTATGTGATCCCAATTAATTAATTAGTAGCATAGTCACAATTAAAAAATTAATTGCAATTTTTGTCACAATTTGTATATTACTGATCTTGACATCAAAATTATAGTAAAAAAAAAAGCTTATATAATTAAATAAATAAAAAACTTATATGATTAAATATGTAAAAAAAAAAAGTTTATAAGATTAAATAAAGAAATTAGAAGCAATCAAGTGATTTTTTTTTTTTTTTAACTGAAATATCACAGTAAATATTTAATTCTAAATTTATTCTAATAAGTGCAAAAGTTTTGAACAAGTGCTATATAGAAGTTTTTTTTCGACTTGCAAATGACAGCAAGTATTATTATGATTTATATTCTCTTAGATTATAGCTGATAACCCAAAAAAAGGATCAGGTTATACTAATTTAATAAACCATTTAGATGCAAGACATAAAAACTTTAAATTAATTTACTAACAATGAATCGAAAATATCTCTATATCAAATTTCTAATATGCATAATTATAGTACAAGTGTGCTTAATATTTTTAACTGAGTTAGTCTTATCATAAAGTGCCAATTATCTCTTAATGTATATAAGAATCTTAATTTTATCTTGCATATTAGTTTTTTAAAATTAGATATTACTACAGCTAGCAAGTACCTTAGTAGATTGACAGATATTATACAGAAGAGAGTAAAAAATATTTTGTCAAAAAAAATTAGAATTATGTTTAACAAGTAGATAAATAATGGCATTCATTTTGTTAAGATGTTCGAAATCTATCAAACTGCTCATAAATCAAGAAATTTGGCTTTGCTAGTATTTTCATCTTTTGAAAATCATACTACTTAAAATGCAAATATACATATTAGATTTTTTAAAGAAGTCTTGGAATCTTATAACAAGAGTGTTAAAAACATTCTTTTTTTTCGAATAATAATTGTAATACAAACTGTAAAATAGCTAATGATTTGGATCTTTCACTTGTTGGATGTATATTATATTATCTAAATTTGGCTGTAAACAATCTTATAAGTTTTTCATCTACTTTTGTAAATCAGATTTGTATAATTGTGTATATGATGAAAACTTATAAGAATCATGGAAAACTTGCAAAAGTGATATTGTTAAAGCCTATATTAGACAATGCAACATGTTAAATGAGTGTTATGAAAATGATTAAATAATTTAAAAAACTTGTTTCTTACATTACTCAAGCCAACAGATTTTTAGATCAAGACTTTTTTTATTTTTTTATTTATATATACAGGTCATAATATTTTGTTAGTTGAACAATTTAATCTTAATAAAGTTGATTACTTGATTAAATAACTTACATATTTTTTTTAAAAGCAACTAATGATTTACAAAATGATTCTATAAATCTGGATGATGTTTATGTTTATTTTAATTTGTTAATTAAGAAATGTCCAGAGTTAGAAAACCAATTAGGAAAAAAAGCATTGATCATCTATGATCCAATTTTTGAAAAGGTTATAACCAAAGTTCTACGCAAACATGAAACTGTATTGATATTAGATGAAAAAAAAAACTTAAACTATTTATTGTTAAGCAACCAATTGTAGAAAAAAGTCTCTTGACTATAAATAAACAAGTTGTGAAGAAGCATAAATCAAAAGAATCGAAATATATAGATATGAATATTATTCCTCCTATATCTAATATAGTAGAATGTTTGTTTTCACTTGTAAAATATTATTATACAGATTGGAAAAAGTTTCTTGATTCATATATCTTGAAAAATCTTTTATTATTAAGAGTAAATAGTAAAATGTAGTCTATTCAAGACATTTATCAAATTAAACAATAGTTTTAACATATAACAATTATGTTATTTTAATGAAAATTTTAGTTACTGTATTGTTGTTATAGTTTTTTTTTTGATGCTTTTTATTTATAAAAATTGCAATTAATTACAATTATTTCACAATTAATTGTTTTGCAATTGTTTGTTTGTAACAATGTTAACTGATCATAATTGTGTAATAATTTAATTGCAATTCAATTTTTGATACCTCTGATTTTTATTAATTTTAAGTATTTATATAAAAGGTAGTTATTATTTATATATCTTAAGACAGTTATATTTTTATAAATTGGTAAATAAACAAAGTAATAAAATAAAAATTATTAAAGAATTTTTTTACTCTTTTGCTAATAGTAATAAGTATATATGTTTTAAAACTAATTATAAAAATGTCAAGTTTTAATATTTTCAAATGAATATAAATTAGTTCTTTAAAAACATTACCTAATGTTGTTTTTTTTAATTCAAGTTTTTTAATTGCATTGATAATAAATTTAATTACTTTTATTAATATATTATTACTAGTAAAAGATATCTATTATTAGCAATAAATTTTATTTATTTTTTTTTTAACTATTCCCAATGTATTACATTGTGAGGCGCATGTGATGCTCTAATTTTCTTTATTAACTTTAATGTTTAGAACCTACAGGTTTACATATTTAGTTGCTACATACATCACCAGTGGTGTTCTCTAGCTTCACCATACCACATTATTAACAAGTTTATCACTATTGTAATAACCTGGGTCTCTGGCCCTATGGTGTAAGACCCCTTACTCGAGTCTGCAGTTCCCTATTAACAATGGTCTTTTTAGGTTCCATTTCCTTATTTCTATTGCCTTTTACAGTAATTTTCTAATCTGGGATCCTTATGTTATCAATGTTTCTTGTTAGATTATCACCTTATCTAGGCATTGTGTAACCCCATGGCTATGTTACTCAACTTGTTCTTGCTGTAATACTTTGTAGAAATTGGAAATAGGCAATCCCTATAGATCATTCATTCTTGTAATATTCTTGTCCAGAAGTAGAAGTGAGAAATCCTCTCAAGATCATAACAATCGTGGTCTTGGCATAGCTTTTTTCCCTAGTTGAAATTGAACTGGCAATTTTGCAAATGTGATCTGGGAGTGCTAACTACTGCACTATTGACCCACAGGTCATAATTTTATTTATTTTTAATTTTTAAATATTTAGTTTTGTTAATTTTACTTAACTTAAGATAGTACTAAAAGCTTTTCTTAAAAGTAGGCATATCTAAACAGATCTTAGCAAGAAAATACTACTAAGTTTTACAAAAAGTAATTAAAAAATATATAATTTTTTTTTTTATTAATTTTTTAAAATTCAGATTTATATATATGAGGTTGTAAAAAAATTTACAAATTTCTAATTTTTTTGTAAATAGAAACTGTTACTAAAGCTAGTAATATCTTTAATAATCAGATTAAATACATGAAAACAGTATTTAATAAAAATAATATT